CGGCGACTGTTCRCGCGTGTTTTTTGCCACGTATTGTTTCCTCGGCCTGGCGTTTGTCGCCCAGGACCTGGACGATCCCTTCGGGTGCGGCCCGAACGATTTCGACGCCGMGGGCTGCTTCGGGTTTGCCCTGGACGACGTCGTGACCATGATCCACGACGCGGACGGCCTGGAATGGGCCGATGCGCTGCGGTACAAGTGCAACCCAAACCCCTCGAGGGCCGTCCACGACGAGATGGTGGGCGCGATGACGGGAGAGCGCGAGGGCTTGCTGCCAAAGCACAAACACGGCGGCGGCGACGACAATCGCCCCTGGAAGCACGCCCCGGTTCCGGACTGGATGGCGTAGGAGAAGAGCTGCCGCTGCTCCTCRCAAAAGATGGTGCAGGGTTTCTTTTTGTGCTTGTGGCGTTGCCGTCAAGCCCAACGTCCAAGTCCGAGACCAAGCTTGTAGTTCCATGGAACTTTTGCGGTGCCTTTGTTCGTGCTGGTTGCAGGGATTAGTTCCATACGGCACCGCCTTTAGAGGACGACAAGCCACAGATGTGAAGTAAAATTGTTTAATATTTCAATACTTGTTTTAAAATATTCACAACTACGGTACTACCACTGTGGGCAATTACTTGATTCCCTTCAACTAGTAGTACTACTATTAGTACATTGCTTCCTTCGTTAATTCTCCACGGCTGTGGGGAAGAATTCTTCTTCTTGTTGGATCGATCACCATTGCACAGATACAGTGCTAGTTTGGAACACAACCAGCAAGAACACCTTAGTAGGGGTTTTATGCTTGTGAAGTCCCTGCAAACTCAAAACACTGAACCATAATCAGGCTTTGCTTGTACTTGTAGTAAGCCTACTAGTACTACTACTATCTATCTACAATAAGGCATCTACACCCAAAATGTTCCGTAGTAAAAAGCATCGTGCATTCGTATCGCATGGTACCGTACTCGTTTGAACGTACGGTATATTGTAAACCTACACCAGTTTGCAACTTTTTCGAGTCGCTGAAAAACCGWTAGGTCGAAAACGAGGACAGACAAGAGAGTTTTTGATTTATGCTTTTGGTGTTCTTGGAAACTCGTATTTTCGGGGGTGTAACTCAGGGGTAGAGTGGTCGCTTTGCATGCGACAAGTCGCAGGTTCGATTCCTGCCTCCTCCATTTTTAGTATACTGCGATCAAGCCATTCCTGACGATCTGATTTTTTTGTACGTGTTTTTTCTCCTTTTCCAACCCTCTATATTGCACAATATATGAGTATCATATGGTACTTTCAGACTTTTAATCATGGGTGCAACTAACCTATTTYATCTGCTTTTACATGGTGTTTTAAGGCCCCTGATTTGGAAAAACSACTGCACTGCATCACAAACTGTTGCTATTTCATTCTGTTCGTCCGAAGAGATCCATTGCGATTGAAGGGTTCTTCAAGTGGATCTTGAATTTATACTACATAAGAGTAGCCATCGTTACGTTTGGTCAAGTCATCTACCAGTTATTGCGAAAATTTCTAGTTGTGTATCAGAACTAAAATATTACTCGACGGGAGAGCAACATTTTCTAACAATAATTTAGAATTGTACAGATAATTTTCCTATTWCTCACGGCAGACTAGCATTCGAATTAATGTATCAGAATAGTTTTGGTTGACATAGCAACTTGTTTCGATAGAAGTGAAGCATTCTTCACAACTATACTTTTTCGAGGGTACTTCGCTACGGTATTTCTCTGAAACACGCGATTGTTGCCTCCTCGGCTCTACTAATGATCTCTTTTGGTTTCTTTCAAGCGAGGTTTGATCGGAGTGGATTATTTCTCTTGCTCGGCATTTTCCGAATCATATTTCCCACCCGGGATAAACGTATCGAGGCCGACAAGGTTCGACTCATCGACATCTTCGGCGCTACTGTCATGGTTGCTCTCCATAACATCGCTGGTGTGGGCCAAATCATAGTTTTTGAGGCTACCAAGCATATTAGAAGCGGTGGACTCGTTGTCAGACCGGAACATGGCCAAAAACTCTTCGAACGAGACTATTGCAAAGGAAATCAAACAAACGAATCAAAACATCCAGCAATTGTGTTTGAGAAAGAATGAGTTGCAACATGCACAAAGTGAACAAACAAAAARTGAGAAACCAGCATTAAACTATACAACCACAACCACAATRACGACGACGAAACTCACCGAAGCCGGTCTTGCCTGTGTCTGCTTCTTCGATCATRCGCTCCACCTCATCGTGCGTCATCTCCGTGTCGCCAAAGAATTCCATCATGTTCTCCTTCGAGATCTTCCCCGTTTTGTCGACGTCAAGCCGGTCAAAAGCCTCAGCGATACGATCCTCATCGAGCTCACCCTGGGCTTCAAGACTGGCGGCGATAAATTCCGTGTACATAATGTGTCCGTTCTGGTTGATGTCGATTGATTCGAACATTTCCCTGATCTCCTCGGCGGAGTAGTTCCCTTTGTCCAGCAGGGCCGTCTCGAATTCTTCCGACGTGATGACGCCATTGTTGGCCGTGTCCATCTGGTCAAAGGCCTTGCGCAAGTTGATAATGTCGGCGGTAGTGGAACGGTGGGCAATAAAGTTAAGCGCGAGTTTCTTGAGATTTGAGTTGTTCTTATACGCTAGGAGGTTCTTTGTAACGCGTCCCGTCATTGATTCCGTGGGAGCCCGGTCCTCTGCCTTGAATTCCTTATGCATCCACTCGTGTTTCTGCGCGTGCTTAGCTCGGTACCGGACCTTCGGATCCACCACCAGCAGGTKATCGATAAAGTCCTTGGCCTCCGCGCTAATGGGTCTCCAGTAGTCCTTCTCAAAGGTGTAGTCGCACCGCATGATTCGATCGATCATGACCTTTCGTYTCTTGTTGTAAAAAGGCCGGTGGCTAGAGAGAAGCATGTAAGTAATAACACCCACGGACCACATGTCGGCCTGTGATGTATACACGCCCTGCAGGACCTGAGGAGCCATGCTGTACAATGTTCCGACTCCCTCCCTCATGTAGCCCATCTTGTTGGAAGCAAACTTTTTCGACAAACCGAAATCGATGACCTTGATTTCCGCATCGGGGCGCTTGCTTTCAAACATGATGTTTTCGAATTTGACTGTTGTTGATTTCGTTAATTTTGAATTGAATGTTGTTGTTGTGTTTAGTTTGCGTTTTTGGTCAATCGTATCCAACCACGGAAGGAAAGAAAAGATGATAGAAACGAAACAACAAAAAGTTAACAATTGAAAAATACAGAACCTTCAATTGAGTGCATTTATGCATTTTCAACCATCCATATGTTACGAATGCTGTTCCTGCATCCTATCTTTCTTCTAATAATCGTCGCATTGGCATCAAATTCCTACTTACGATCTCTGTGGACAATTMGGTGGTCGTGCATGTATTTGATGGCCGACAGCAGCTTGCCAACAATGTAGGCCGATTCCTGTTCCGTGTAAGGGAGTCTCGTGTACAAATCACCCCCGTCGCAGAGCTCCAGGATCATGTAGATCTGCTTCTTGTGCGAAAAGACCTCGTGGAGCCGGACAATATTGGGATGATCCATCGCCTTGAGGATGTCAATCTCGTTCTTGAGCTCATCGATAAATGACTTGGACACTCGGTCAAGAATGATGCTCTTGAGGGCGTAGCTGGMCACGGTGCCCGATGGTCTGTCGATGCTGCTCGAGGAGAACGATCCCCGGGAGCTAGCCATGAAGCCCTCCTTTAAAACCACCTTGGCGACGTGCCCCATGCTGCCGTTGCCCAAGACCTCCATTTCGGTGTATTTCTTGTAGACGTYGACCTTATACTCCGTCATAAGGCCGCTATGGATGGACCCGCCGGTGCCAGAGTTTGTCGATCTAGATTTCTGATTCTGCCGCCGCTTATCGATGTTGCTGTCGGTGGCGGCAGTCGACTTTGACTTGGGGGAAGTCTTTACGTTTCCATCGGTTGGCTTATTTGCCTCCGGCGATTTTTTCACGTCTCCATTGGCTGCCTTTCCCTCTGCGAAAGAATCCCTTTCCGGATCGGGATCGGCATCGGCATTAATGCAGTTGCCCATGGATGAAAAAGAGGGACAGGGACGAAAGAYCCCTGGCTTCAGGCAGTTGTCGAAAAAAGGTATGGTAGAGTCGCTCGATCGATTGGCGACTTGAATCCTACACTGCTATCTCTGCGTTCGTGCGGAGAGGGGAGGAAACCGGTTGTCAATGCGTGTGTGGTCGATAAGTCGCTGATCCGTTTTGGGTTGCAATGATGCTGACTCTTTGAAGATGATCTATGTGCTGCCGTTCGGTAGGAAATGCGAAGACCAGGCTCGCTGGGATCGATATTTTTTGTTCAACACAACACGCGAATTTCTCAATCATTTCTCACCGT